TAAGCAAGAATTATTTTGTGCTGCTTTGCTAAAGTTAAAATTCAGGTATATAATATGTTTGATAAAGGAAATCAATATGGCAAATAAAACAGTTACAATCTCTCAAAGTAAACACGTGTTTTATTTTCCATAACACAAAGGAAGTACCTTGAAATGTTTGTTTTAAAATACTAAATTTATAAAGAAGTTTTGGCAGCTTACACAGGTACGAGAAATATGTTAGTACCCCGCCAAAAAGTTAACGTTCTTTGAGAACTATCACACACACACACACACAAAACAAAAAAGAGACCATCGTGCTTGATTAAAAATATGAGAGATAAAAGAACAGAAAATAATATTCAATATTCAAAGAAGGTCTTCCTGAAAGGACCTCTTCTAAACCTTGTCAAGCTCCCCTGAGAAGAAAACTTGAATATAGGGTATTAGCAAAATAATCCCTAAAAACAAATTATTGAAGAAATCAATTACACATTGCTGAACGCTCAGTCACCGCATAAGTATAGCACTAGCGTTCTGGGACAGATGTCAAAGTGCCAGAGCTTGCCGTTGACCGATTCTAAACACAGAAGAGATTTCCGGAAAGTTTCCATGGGAAAAGGGTGGCTGACGAAGCCCACGAAAGGGGGCGTAGCAGGGAAGAGAATTACACACAGAAAGGCTGACAAACACACAGTTACCGTGTCGCCTACTCCTCCGCACCTTGCCGTAACCGCTGTTAGTACTACACTGTACGATGGTAACTGCACGACCGCACGGCGTCCATTTGCAATCCATGGCCCCGTCGCGTACCCGCGAGTGCACAGACTGTTTCCGATTCCTTGCCGAACTTTGCACGGTTGCACGGCGAATCTGCCACGGTGGCTCCACGGTTACGCCTGACTAAAACTGTGCCTAGTGCGTGCGTCATGCTTTCGTATTCCAACACGTAAGCGGTCTCTGCCGTTTCTTTTCTTTTTTTTTTATTTCCCTGGCGTATTTTTTTCTTTTTCATGATTTGCATATTTTGACGGTCGATTTGTACTAGACGACCGCCGCGCCGGCAAAGCTGCCGGCCATTTTTTTATTTTCTGTCGCCGTCTATGCTCTTGTTTTTGAGCTTTTATGCCTGTTTTTTTCCCTCTGTTTTGTGTGACTGGCTGAATTTTTTCTGTGTCCCACACGCGCAACAAACATATTAAAGGAGCTGTGCAACGATATTCAATTGGAATGTTTTTCTCTCTACACGAGCTTACTGGCACACCTGGGACTCAAGGATACTCACACGCAACGCCACTGGCCAAGAAACTTCTTTGTTGCGGTGTAATTTCAAGGACAAAAGCGATCATTTTCATTCAATCTCTCCTTCGCAAAATTCGATGACGTAACTCGGGGATCGCAGTACACCCAAGTGACGATATTTGAATGCGGCTCATAGATTGGACCCGAGCATTGCGTGGGCACTCGACTTGGGCTCGTGACAATTGCTATCTCGAGGAGCATTCGGGTTGTAACCCGTGTCCAATCGCTGCAACGACGACAATAGCCGAGCCATAACAATGTCTGGAACTCAGCGCGTGTCCTGCGCTTTGCCAACCCCAGCGCGTGGCTGTGATCAACATTGGCGGCATATAATCGGCTCCAGATCACGTGGCCGCTTGTTCTGGCTGCGAGTTGAGGGGGTGAATGCTGCTCGTTTTTCTTAAATTTTTTTCTGGGACTTCTATTGCGTGAGGTGAAAAACGAACGCGTGTTTCATAGGTCATTAACGTTAGGGATCTGTTTTACGCGGTATTTGTGCAAAGTACAAAAATTGTTGCATTGCTCCTTTAAGGGAAGTTTTATTTTTTTTTGTATTCTTAGCAGTGATGGACTAAATCTGCCGAACTTTAGACGACCTTCCATAGCTCGCCCTCCTCTACACACACACACGCACACACGCACACACACTATGGCATTTTGCCCGCCTCCCGCTTAATGCAAAAGTTCATAACTACTGCAGCGCTAACGAGGTCTACAATATTACAATATACCGTTGCGATATAAACTGGTGTTGTAATAGATTCTAGAAGACAAACAAACCAAAAATCGCAACATCGTTTCTGTCAATCAACGCTCTCGGGCGGACAAACCGTAATCATCTAGAATACACACCAAGAAAGAAATCTGGGGCCAAGCTTACGAACACTGACTGTCCGAGCAATACCGTTACAACTGTTTCGCGAAAGAGAATCGCGCGGCTCACGGCAGGGCAAACGATTAGCAACGCTTTTTTCCGAGCTGAACGAACAGATCAAAGAAGCAAACGCGGACGACTGCAGTCAGAAGAAGACTTTCGCTCTAAATGTAAATCTCGTGCATTTCGCAGCCAGCCTGAAAATATTGGTGGCTCATTATTCCCTCCCGCAATGTACCTAAAAAGCCCGAGCCTCAATATAAAAGTGTCACCGGAAAGAAGTCAAATGAGCAGCATGACGCTGGATGCTCTCCGGTCGCGACTGCTTCCCGCTCTTTGGAAATTGCCGCGAAGCTTCAGCGTCGTCAGCGTCTCGATCCGCCCAATGAAGCTTGCAGGTTGTGCCTTGTCTTACTAATCACATCTTCGTTCTCTCTTCAATGTTCTTTTAGTCATGATGTCTCAGAATTGATACTTCGACATACTTTATTCAACGTCTGTGTTTTTATTTTGTTTAATTTCTCTGAACTTTTTCTCGTGAAGAATGCGCCTCCATCTCTCCTCTCGACCGAACTACACATTGGTCCAAATAAGAGGGACCAGTCCCCTCTTAATATTGATGGACACGAATGATTTTTTTTTTCTGTCGGTCTTTCCGATTTAGAGAGACCAAGGAAACGGTTTTTTCTGTCTCTCTTAATATGTTAGTGTCCTTCTAGATGGTACTTTTTTTTTTCATTTCCCACTTAAAATGGACTGTCTTCCTGAAAGCATCTTTGTCCTCTCTAAAAACAATCAAACCACTTTTTTTTTTTTGGGGGGGGGGGGGAAAGGGGGGGGGGGGGGGGGGACCGGATTTTAGAGTGCAGCATTCAAGACAGGAAACCGCCGTCTCTGCTGTCTTGGCGAAACCGGTATCTCGGCGCGCCGTCGACTTGGCACAGCACAAACGCGCGACAACTTGCAGAGCTTGATGCGCGTGCGTTCTCTCTCGGACACGGGCTCTCCACGCCGATAGGGCAGAATTCGGAGATGTACGGCGGGCTGTTTAATGCAAATGAGCGGAGTAGAATGCATTCTCCCCGTAAAGTATTTGCCCTACCTAATGAAAGGAGGAGCCATTGTTATGTAGGTATTTGTAGACCCTTTCTTGTCCTCCTGCCGGCCATTAAAACATTCAATGTTTGCACAACAATATACGCGAACGAAAGCGGAGGCGCATGAATATCGCGTGTTGGAAAAGGAGTGGCCATTTACTCGAATTTAAAGCGTGTCTGTTTTGTTTCTGTGCTTTAAATTTTTGTTGATACGTTTTGTGTGCCCAACTCTGAAATATTTTCCGGCGATTACCGAAAGTCCGTGCCATTTCCTCAAAGCACACGCGCGCCATTCTCGCACGCGTGGCGTGTTTACCGGCGCTTGAGCGTTCCCGCTATGGTTGCGTGTTTTAACGACATACTTTCAGATGTACTAAACGCGATTTTATTTTACCCCGGTCGAGCCACTTAAAACAACAAATTTAGAATGCGCGCGCTTTTTTTCCTTTGTAAATATAAACGCATTAGCGCATATTACCAGCACTAAAAAAAACTGCGATTTAAATTATTTTTTACAGTAAGAAGCCCTCATTTGCCGATTGTCAGCGTGAAGTGCCCTGTTCTCTTTTCTTTTTTAGGAGTGCCATAGACGTTTGCATGTATGATCTCTGGGCGCCGCCATCTTGCTGCTGGTGTGGCTAGATCGTCTGATAGTCGAACATTGCTGAGGCCATCTGTACGCCTCAGCAATGCTTGACTATCAGAAGATCTAGCCGCACCAGCAGCAAGATGGTGGCGCCCAGGGACCATACTTATACTTATACTCTATAGCAACGCTTTTTTTTATGTCTTCTCGTTACTTTTGGCGCGCATGCTCGAAATAATTGCCCTGTAAAATATGAAGTCAGAAATCTTTTTAGCGCTAAATAAAAGTCCATTAAAATACAGAAATATAGTAACCACCAATGTGTGACAGCGTGTTGCGCACTCTGGTCCCTGACGGTTTGGGAAAGCAGAGCGTGGCTTACACGCGTCCGCCTTCGTGATTGGTTCTTCGGAGGTCGTATCGGTTAATGCCCCTCTCTCATTGGCTGCGGAGCGAACTCAACGCTGTGACGTCATGCCGCTGCGGTGGCGCTGCTGTCGGTTCTGCGCGTGCGCAGACGCTTCCATCTCGTGCGAATTGGGAATTCTGTGCCCGCGTCGTGCCCACACCAGAAAGGGGGGGGGGGGGGGGGGGGGGTCTTTATAATCTGGACCAGGCCTCCTCTATACTGACAAAGCCTGGCAGATCACCACGAGAAGCGGCCGCCGAAATGGAAAAGGTAGAGCGGCAGACAATGGATGAGAGGAGGAGCCAAGTGACTGGCGCCCCGCTGCGGCCAGACGCCGAAACACACTTCTCCCGAGCGAACAAGTGTGTTTCGGGTTCTCCCGAGCGAACAAGTGTGTTTCGGGTCCTCGCCGCTGCAAAAGCTGTTCGCTAACGTCCAGGTTCCCCGAGAAATGGCTCTTTGATGCTCTGTGCTACCAGATCCTCGCGCTCCAAACCTGCGACCGGGCTCCGTCGTCGAACTGCCAGGCCTGTTTGGACACTTGGCGGACAAGTCGGTCAGGCCAAGGTCAAGTCTGCACTTGACCTTGGCCAATCACGGCGCTCGAATCGCTCGCCGACATTTTTCGCCGAGTGTCCATATTGTAGGTTTTTCCCTGATATACGTGGGCAAACGCGGGCTTGTTTGTAATGCAGCGCGTTGGTGTATATAGTATAATATAAATCGCCGCGGTGGTGGGTCCTTTGCTTCGCCATGCAGGAGAGCCTACTGCTGTCTCTGCTGCCCCGCTTCGTGGCCCAGGAGATCATTAAAGACATCTCGAACGAAGAGGACCATCGCAAGTTTTTCTCCTCCCAGTTCCACAAGATATACATCCACTGCTACGACAACGTCAGGTGGGTTCACACAGTCGAGACCTGTATACGAGCATACTCCTTACGGGGAATCGGATGAGTCATAATTTCCTTTACTTTCTGGAAAAATTTTCTAATGATTTGGTTACTTTTTAATAGGAAGTAATCGCGACAGTCATCCGAAATTGTTTTTGGGGAAGTTACTAAAATTACTCGTAATTGTTAGTATTTTTCAATTCCTCGTTTTAATGGCGCCCTTTTATTTGTGCAAGTTTCCTACCAGGAAATCCTCATGCCAAGTCTCAGAGAGGACGGCGTTCTACCAAATTTGATGGAGTCTATAATTAGTACTCTATAAGTCTATAAAACGTTGTCTATAATTCGGTGATCCTGATCTAAAAATGAACAGTACGAAAGACCCGTTTTCAATCCGGCAGAAAAAATTCGACGTTTTGAAAGTTTGAAGTTAATCGGAAAAGTAACGGTGACTTTTTTTTCGAGTAATGACCAATTAGGCTTTTCTTCCCAAATATTCAAGTAATCTAGCTGACTACTTTTCTACGCGGGAGTAATTCTAATTAAAATTGATTACTTTTTTTTTTAGTGACGTGTGCAAGATTGGTCATAGCCGCCATTATTTATCGCCGTTCGTTGGCCCTACCCACGGGCCTTCTTTAAACGCGCTTCACCGTGGGAATTCCATGATTATCAAAAAAAAAGTGTAAATGTTTATTTTTTTATTTTTTTATTATTTATTTACAATTAAAAACAAATTGGTAATCATTGACTGCTGTTTAGCAACCGATGCTACAATTCGACAGTCGTATATAATGATACCGAAATATTAAGATGGGCGGCTAGACGAACAAAAACGGCAAATCAGAAGACATGCACGAAGACTAGTGCTATATATAGTCCAGTCTTCGTCTCCCTGGCCTTGTCCGAACTTCGCGCTCTTTTTGTTCATTATGTATAATTGTACACCAGTTCAGCCTTTTCCCGCTGTACTTAGCGGGGCAAAGGCCTCCCGCTAAACTTAGCGGAAAAATTGAACGCATATATATTTTTGTACACCAATTCAGTTCTACCCGATAAACTTTTAAGCTATCGAGATCGCGACGAGGGGCGCACATGATCTCACGGTGTATTGGCCCTTCAAATGCTATCAAAATTAAACAAATAAAAAAATATATATTGCAATTTCGCGTCAGAGAGAGAGCCATCGTTCGGTGCTTTCTAAACGCTCCCGACGAACACTCTCGAGTAAGGCGAAACAAAAATAGCACCAAACAAACCTTTCAGAAATTTCTTTGAGGCCGATCCAGTCTCTAAATCGACGATTTTGAAGAAGCCCGCGAACCGTATAGCCTATATCCGCTCGAGATGTTCCTGCCCGCACTCGTATCAATGCCATGCACACAGAAATAAAAGAAAAAAATATCCTTATCATTTTTAGTTTTGTACCCACAGTCGAATGCGATTGCCGCTCTAACTAGGAACGGTTTGCTTCCGATGAGCTCGGACGGTCGGAATCAATATTTGTGGCTCTTTCAAAGGAACGTATACTGTATACTCGGTTTCAGCCAATCAGAATGACGGAGCCCTTTGAGCCAATCAGAACGACGGAGCGAGCCACGTAACGACCCATCGCAGAACGAGTGCACTTTTCGACATTCCGTTTTCGCCTGCCTCGCTCTTTGGTTGTCATTGACTGCCGGACTGGGAATTGTAGCTGTCACCGTTTGCCGAAATGAAGTAGGCGTACGGGGAATTCCCGAGAAAAGATATACGTGTTTGTAGGCCCGGATAAATAAACTATGCATCGTAAAAAGCTGAAACTCGATGAGAATAGGATGCTAGCGGTTGGGAGATAACGCGACCGTTTGGAGAACAGGACGTCGCCTGGATCAAAATAAAATTGAAGAAAAACGGCATTTCTCTATGAGCCAACGCCCACCTAAGCCTAGTATTGTCAAAACAAATA